CAAAGTAGAAGATGGTTAGGCAGTCGTTTATAGCTAGATATAGTGATAAGCATTTGGTTCTTTCGGTTTGATTTTATCAAATTTTGATTTTTAAATTTTGGTTTTAAAATAATGTGTATCATATATTATATTAAATTAATTCGATTTGATTTGATTTTTTCTACAAATTAGTTTGATATTTTAAAATTGGTGTTTAAGTATAAATGAGAAATAAAATATGGACAAAATCAAAATATACGATACTTGGAAAATTTTAAATTTATATTAAGAAATGATGTGTCTCGCTATGTAAAAATTATTGTGCAAACTAAAACACTATATTTGTCTTTGTCGAAAATATTGTGTCTTCTCTCTCGAACTACTTCTGGAGAAAAATAAGTATCGAATTTCATTATATCATGAACATTGATAAAAATATATATATAAAAAAAATTACCTACTACACATCATTCACTATCATATTTTCTTATTTTCCCTACCATTTCAATAAATATCAAAAATTTCTTTCTTTCTCTTATCATTACTTTTTTCAGATACATTAATTTGAATCTCTTAACTATGGTATTACTTCCTTTTTCACTCCACAAATCTCACTACAGTTACTCTCATTAATTTATTATTGAATTTCAATTTTTTTTCTTTCCAGTAAAAGACTTCTCAAGTTATTCAAGAGTTAGATTCCTTTCATCCACTTTAAAATTTTATTTTTTTTATCTCAAAAAAATTACTGAATCTTTTACTCCCGGACTCTTTACGGAAGAGAGGTTGAAAAAACTAGTTAATCCACAATTCATCTTGGAGTGCATTCAAAATGATTTCACAAATTTCTAATTGCGATCTTGATGCATAATGTCTACCAAATTCAACAGTTTTACAAACTTTATTACATATATCACTTTATGTATCAAGTGATCGCTACTGTTTTATGTATCCTACACAAAAAATCTTATCTAGAATAATTATATGTAATATGTTTCTTTTTATAAAATACAATATTTCTCAAACAAAATAAGGTACATAAATAGTAATAAATCATGCACTAGTTTTTCATACAAGATACGTCATTTTAAATTTATACTAAATATATCTAATACATAGCAATAACCACACAAATATGTATGCATCAAAGGTATGTATCTCTTCAACCTTTTTATATGTTGTTTCAATATGTAATGGATACACATGAATAATTTCATAGCACCAATACGGATTGCTCAGGGCTATTACTTGAAGGAAATTTGCAAAAAGAAGATATCATATGTTTTTAACCAACCCAATTGTCCAACAAGTAGGCAGAATCAAGCAATGTTGCCTCTCCCATTGACAAATTCACACCTTTCTTGAATTTTAAAATATTTCTTTCATATTTTCCTTTCAAATATTGTGCCACTAATATATGAGAAATTTGATATCTATGCACAAGCGTTTAAGAGAAGTCCGGACACTATAACACCAGAGCACAATTAACAATGAACAAAAAATAATTGATTCATCCATAGACCAATGTATTAATTATACAAATTTATAGATACGCATCCAATAAAATCAGCTATTGTTTTCGACTTTTTTCAATCTATTACGATTTGGGTGAGAATTGAAAGAAGAAAATTTGAAATTTTTGAAAATAGACGGATTTGGAATAGTACTGAGAGAAGAAAAAATAAATTTTGTATTGAATTTGGGGGATTTGGGAGAGATTTGAGAGAAGAAATTTTGAATTTTGATTTGATTGAATCTTTTAAGATTAGAATTGAATTTAACTAAATTAGCGTGATTTGGGGAACTCACATTAATTTTATATCCTCTTTTCTTTAAAAGTGTAACTGATTTTATTTTTATGTATTATATTTAATGTATCCGTGTTCTTTGCTAAGTATCTGAATAGCAATAATTTTGAGGAATTTTTGTTAATTGAAAAAGAGTAGGGATAGAATATAATTTAGGTCCTTACACTTTGAGATTTATGTAAATTATACAAAAATATATGGTGACTTCCTTTGGAGAATTAATATTCAAAGTCAACAATCAAATTTTACTTTAATTTTTCCATTAATGATTTAATTATTGGTTGAAATTTTACTTTTAGTTCAAAGTCCCTTAGACCATCTCCAATTCAATACCGAATTCTTTATTTGATATAAAATTTAGTGTTTTTGAGCTTCAACCTAACACCAAATCTTAGACTAAAAACTATTATGGTGTGCGAAAGGGAATACTATTCATCACACCAATTCACTTTATTGAATTAATTAATAACATTCCATTATACAAAATTTTAAATTAAACATTATATAAATTATTGTTTTAATTAAATCTTTTGTATTTTAATTATTTTTTATGTAGTGTTTTTATAATATTAATTTTAGATATAAAAGTTAATTACTTTATGAATTAATTTTTCTATATATGATTTCTTTTTAAAATTAAATTATGTTAATTCTAATATAAAATATAATTAGATATAACTACTATTAACCTTCACAAAAATTGTTGATTCAACAATTTCTAGCTCGACATAAAAAAAATAAAGGACAAAGAAACTCATATTAAACTACTCAATACATTAATAAAACATTTAACAAAGCACCGTAGTAATGTTAAAAATTGAATATTTATATAAAATTTAAAATAATTTTTTTCTTTGAAGCAACATTTATTTAATTAAAAATATATTTTATTAATGATTTTCATTTTAATATTTTATTATGTTTATGCCCGTCCCAATTTTCAAACTAGGTAGATTAGCTAATAAATATAGTAGCATTGTGGTCGTGCATACATCTCATCGAACGACGCAGTCGTTCTGCAAATAAACAGAGAGTAAAACAGTAAGAAATAGAAAAAACACAGTGAGTTGTCAAGTTCACTTACATTTCACTGTCACACTTCCCAAGCTTTCAATTCCAGCTCAGATATTACTATTATTATTGATTTGATCATGCAAAGCTACAGCGAAAAATAATTCTCTGGATATTTCAGGACACCATACGGAGGAGAGAGTACCGTCTTATTTTCATTTTTAGTCCGATCATAAATATGTCTATTTTATTATAATTCGAATTAATTTAATTTTAACATTTCATGTTAATTTCTTAATAAATGATTTTTCATTTAAAATTATAAATTTCTAAAGTCTTTTTTCTTTTTAGACACATTATGAAGTCAAATATTACTAAATAAAATGGAACGGGAGAAATACTATTTTTGATCAATTTGGAGTTTCAAAACACTCTTTCTCTACACTGTAAATTCTTTTTGTATATTTAAATGTCTTTAAAATCAATTATTATAATTTGCAGTATATTTTTTTGCATAGGTTTCGATAGGAATATTATTTAATTCCTTTGTTTAGAGGCGACACAACATAATTCGAGGTCTAAAGTAAAATTTTTATTAGAGTCCTAAAATTTAAATAAATTTTATCTGTATTTTTAAAAAAAATTTCTAGATATAAATTACTTCTTAACATCTTTATATAAATGATTTTTCAAATACTTTTTTTATTGAGACAATTATTATATGAATTATTAACATAATTCCATAAATCAAAAGTTAATAAACTTTAAAGATAAGAGTTGAAATCATAGAATCCAATTTAAAAAGTTGATAACTTGGTATACCTACTTTAATATGAAAATTAAAAAAAAAGTAAACTTTATAATGCACTTTGTTTAACATTTTTCAACTACTAATTGAGAGAGTATTACTCCAATTATAAAAAATTTGATGAAATAAAATGTAAAGGGAGCTAAAAAAAATAAATAATATGAGTGTAAGCAAAGAAAATACAAGAATCCAAAATAATGTTTCTTGATTTCTTTTATTTTACTGAGATTAAGATACATAATTTTATATTTATAAATATTAGAGGCCCTAGTGCCTCAAATTTTGAAGGCAAGAACCGGCCCTGTCTTTGTCATATTGGTATGAAAAAATATATTGTGATATATATTTCATATAGTTTTTAAATAAGTATATTTGATTTATTTTAATATAATTTTAGAAATTAGTAAAATAAATAATCTGATAACAATATAACAACTATATGGAACAGAAAATTAATAAAGCAATTCTAGTGTTTATATTAACTTGGTAGGGTAACAATTAAGGGTTCATTTGATTAGAAACTAGTTATTTTAAAATTTATTATTATGGGGTTAGTTATCTGTAATAACTTATCACACTCTGTATAGAATAACTTATTCCATCATTATGATATAAATGGTGGGATAATTATCCTAAACATGTCCACCAATTAAGATCAAACTTTCATCTTAAGACTATTTTTTTAATCTTTAAATTATATATTTTTATCTCTTACACAAAACGACTAGTTTAGGTAGAAACATTTGAATTAAGAAAATTAAACGAGTTATTTTTACTATGGGATTTATAAGTCATGGTAGTTGTACCATGTAAAAGTAGAAATTTAAACTATGTGTAAAATTGAACAAATAAACATATATTCTATTACATAACATGCTACAAGACAATTTGTATTTTACGTTGATTCCTATATTTATATAATTTCAAGTAGAGCGTATACGTCTACTTGTTTAATTTTATGTAAGTGTAGTTAAATGAATTTATACACTCTAAACTAAAGATATCAATACTAGCTAAAATCAGATTAAATACTTCTATTGCCTCTCTCCTTCATTTACTTTCCTTTTAATCGGTTTCAAAAAAAATAACACATTTATATATAAAGTAACAATTTCCACTATAAAATATCAATCTTATCCTTAATAATGAAATCATTTACAATCATACAATATTTATATCAATTTTCTTTGATTTTATCTTTTCTCCAGAACGAAAAACCAAACAATACTTACCAAAAAAAGTAGACTAGTTTGCTAAGAAAGAGTCAGAAAAAGCTGCACATAGTTTATCAAAAATGAATATGTAGATGAGAGATAATCAAAAGGTTTATGATCCATACAGCAGAATGTATGTCTAATTTATGTTCCATAAAATCTTCAAACCACGATACCCTCCACTACAATTTACACGATTTTAATATATGTAGTGATATACAATCTATCTATACCATGTGCATACGAAATGCAAATTACAGCTCATAGAATTTAATTATTGCTGGTAGACACCAGAAAAACTAAGACTTAACTATCGATGATCACTAACAACTGTCTAATATAATTTCATAAGTGTAATTTGAGAAGAGTGAGCGTATATGTCAATCTTACACTTACTTTGTGCAAGGTAACCTAAATTTTTCAATAATCGTTTCAACTCTTTCATCACTTGTGACGTTAACTCATCTTCTCAAGAAATATCCTCTGCTCAAGAAAAGTATTTTCGACAAATCCAAAAGTAAAAGTTATGATAATTTTTTTGGAAGGAATGAAAAAAATAGAGCAAGATCAATCCAATAAAAAGAATTTAAGTAGAAGAGGGAGCAGAATTAATAAATACAAAAATAAGAAGGAATACAATATTGTATGTGTATCTATATGGTATCATTCACATTACATATAACCAATTAAAAGATCAGATCATAAGGATTTCTGTCCTCGAAAGAACCACCCAAAAATGCACTATTTGTATGGATCTAAAACAAGTTTTCATTAGATATTTTTTCAAAGTTAAAGTAACATAGCTTAATTCTATACTCCCTCTATTCTATTCCATATTAGACGAGCATCGTATTAAAAGTATTTAACTTATATAACTATTAACACTTACAAGTATAAACAAACTTTGAAGATCAAAGTTTTTTTGTTTTTTTCAAAAGAGCTAACTATTAAATAATAATGATTTCATCTCTACCTATAAAATAGAAAGTGTCCGTCTAATATAGGACGGTGAAAGTATATGAAATATGTATGGTATTGTTCTCTCTTTTGTGGATAGATGAATTTAGAAACCCTAAAAGGTCAATAGAAAACTGCATGAAAGCAAAATCAAGTATAGATCCAGAAGGTTTTTGTCATTATATTTGAGGGACCTTTAATGAGTGGTGAATGATGAAATCTAGTAGAAAACAGAGACAAACAAATAACACAGCCATGATAACTAGGGTTGAATTTAACATCTGAAAAGAAGAAGAAAAAAAAAACAAAAAGAGAAAATTATCAGACAGTAATAATGAAAATCACAGCTATTCTGATTTCTGCCCCAAATTAGCCTAAAAGGGGTCAAAATATCATTATTGTTCCAACATTCCTGTCGGATTTTGCATGCCAATTAAATCCCCCAAAAAACTGAAAAAAAAGATAAAAATCCAAATACACATGCACTTTTACACAAATTCAAAGAAAAGAAATAATCTCACCAGAGACGGAGAGAGAATTACGGAATGTAATTTTTGTTTCCAAATTGGGGGGAATGAAGCCTGGTCCGAAGACACTATCTCATCATCATCGTAATTCACATATATTTTAAACTAGATTGAATATATAAAATTGGATTGGTTCGATCTATAATGAGATAATGACTTCGAGCCAAACAACATTCCCCTCAAATCTGGAAGCTACTCCTTCTGATCCATCTATTGATTCAGCAATTATAAAATTTACTGAAATATTGATTTGGAAATTGAAATAGGATGAGTTGTTAAAAATAAAAAGATGTTAGTGGAGTAGATGAAAACAGCATGATGATTATTACAATGATGATTTCATTCTAATAAATGGTGCTTTTGAATGTGTTATTGTGGGGGGGAGGGGGGTGAAAGGCAGGGGATAGGTGTAGACCTTAAGACAGAGTATATAGGGGCCTGCTTCTCCGTTTTATACGGTGGAGTATTTATCCCCAACGCCTTGTCCCCTCTATCACAAAACATACTTTATACCATTTATTAAGTCATCATGACTTCTCCGAACAATCTAAATTGTATTAGACAAGCTCAATTAAATAAGCACGATTCAAAATGTGTTGGATCGGAAGGAGAGATTAATCTATATCCTTTATGAGATACTATCTGCTTCTGCTACACCAGCTTAATCATCCTTAGAAATTATTAAAAAATTTATACCATTTTTACTATTTAACTTGTTAGAGTGGAGATAAATGGCACATTGATCGGGGGATTGAACTGATACTCAGCTTGGACAATCTTTCTCTTATCTTTCGATAGTGAGTTAGACTCAAATGTAATACATTTATTTCGTTCTCAAACTCATGATGAGAATTGCTTAAATACATATAAGCGAACTCCTAATTTATTCTTCAATCAATATGAAATTTTTACCTATTTTGACGTAACTAATTGCTATTTCTTGCTATTTATGATAGACCTAATCATAAATATTTTTAAATTATGTCGCTATTGGACTGCGTAAAAGCTTAAAACTCTTCAAAATTTGACGAGCTACCATGGTGTATTCTTTTTTGCTTTTTTAAAATTGCTTACAATTACTCCATCGTTCTCTAATCGATAGTCTTACTTTCTATTTTAACTGATTTAGAGATTATGTACATAATTTTCCTACAAATATTTAATTGTATTACTTTACCTATTTTAGTCCACTGATTTGTTGAGATATGAGTTATGATATATTTCTTAAAGAAAATATTTGAAGATGTAAATCAAAGGCAACTTTTTCTCAATCATCTTTCAATTGATTATTTCCAATTTACTCACCTAGAAAATGTAAAATAATCAAGAAATTCATTGAAGGAGGACAAATATGAAGAAAAAAAATTCAACATTTAAGTTTAAAAATATTTTAAACAATTCTACCTATGAACTACCGTGACAATGAACAAAAGGGAGTATTATTTTATCATCAAAGAAAATTTAGAATTCATATTTTGTAAGAAGTGGAGTAGTTGCTATTTGCTCAATAAGGTGGATATGAAAAGTATTGGTGTCCTTTTACACCATAAAGTAGAATGAAAAAGATGTACCATGGAATCTTGGAAGTATGATACCAGTCCAAAAACAATACATCTATATCTTCTCCACATTCCATTGTCTCCTTTTCATCATTACTTTTTTTTTTTAGATACTTTACTTTTTAGATATTATGAATATCATTTTTTAACCTCAATTTTGTATCACTCTTTAGGTCTACTTGTTATTGTAAAAATTTAATCAGGTTACAATGCAAAACAATGGATCAGAAATTTAAAAAAAAATTCCATTCCCTTATTTGTATTTAGCTTGTAAAATTGGTCAATTTGATTCATATGTGAATTTTATCATACCATAACATAAAAAAGAGAAGTCTAATTTTATAAACTCCCTATTTTCCATGAAAGATAATTTACTTCCTTCCCTACATTACTTTGTCTTTACAAATCATTTGACTTGATCACACAATGCAGTCCTTTGCTTTCAGTCAAAGTCTTGTGAACAGAGTATTCCTTACGTCCAAAACTTTATTATATGATTTCGTAACATTTTTCCATGCAAATTACAGTGTTGTATATATATATATACTTTGCTATTTTTTAGTCTTACATCTTTACACGTGAATTAGGCCAAATTATGTCTATAAAAGTAAAAAAACACAAATGATAGGACAGTTTCGCACTAGCAAATAACTTGTTGCTCGATACTATCTCCGTTTCATATTATAAGTCACCCCTATGTAAAAATAGTTGGACCACAATATATGTCATTTTATAAAATTCATACATAAAATATTATATTTTATCTATTTTACCCTTATTAATTGATTAATTAATCTTGAAAATATATTTACTTTGACTATCCTTGGAAATCTACAACTAATTAAATTAGGGCATATGGTTAAAATAATCTTAATGTTGTTAATACAAGTGTAAATGAAAAAGGTGACTTATAATATGGGACGGAGGAAGTAACTTTAAAAACTGATAATTGAGTCAAGATTATTTGCACTCATACTAGGGTAGTCACGGGACTTATTGTCCCTTTCGAAAATTGTCTTTCGAGCAATGACATATCGAGCCTAAATGTGGGTGTACTATATGAACTTATGTTACATAAAACATTCCCTTCCTTGTTCGTGTAGGTATAAAATTCATTTAAAACATTATGTATAACTTATCTTCGACAATTTGATAATTTTATTAAAAATTTGTTATTCCTACTTGATCCGCCTTATAAGATGTCGTAAAAAGGTGAATCCAACAATGTGAGGGCTTATGTCATAGGCTTGACCCATGGATGACTTGTGATACATATAGACCTACCCTTTAGGCTTTTTCTATATTGACGCGGTTTTAAGTCATTGGAGTTGGTGAGAATTGAGAAAAAAGGGTGCAATCCGCCAATTGCCCCTTTATTCCTTTTCAACTTTTTGTCTCTTTCATATTTCTACATTAACATCTTTACAAAATCGTTGGAAATAACAAAAATTCTACGTGTGAACTTAAAAAAAAATACTAATTAATTCGTCTAAATATATGTTCAAATTGACTAAATCGTTAATATTCATTAAATATTTTCCGCCATAGTTATTTGCTCCATTGTTTTAACATAACAAGGTGTTTTAGGTTGGATATGTCTCATAAGAAAACTATTCATTTTGTAAGTATATCTACATATATTAAAATAAAGGGTAATTTTTAATTAGATTGAATAGTTTGATCAAGAAAGAACTGACTCTTTGATGATGTAAAACTACATATATTAAAATAAGGGTAAGTTTTGGGGGAACATATGTTAGTCCTTCTTGATTATGTTATGGAGACATCTCAGTAACCAAAAGGCCACAATTCAAAACTTGATGTTAAATACTCGAATCCGATGACATCTTATTCAATGTGGTCCTTATAATATTTTTTTAAAAAATATCTTCAAATTAATTGAGTTAGGAATAATGCGTTGTTTATTGCTGTGACCTGTTACCTTTATAAATTTAATAAATTATAAAATGATTAACCATTTGATTACCAGGGCTGGTATAAATTGGTGTTATTACTTCATATTTGAACGTAAATATACATCTAATAATAGTCTAAACATCTCATAATTTTTATATAACGAATAAAAATATGAACTTTCAATTAATTGATGATAAGATTTTCTTACAAGGAGCATAATAAGATTTTTTAACAAGGGAATAACTAGAGGATCAAAACTCGAAAGTTCATTTATCTCAAATAAGCAGTATAATATTCTGATAGAGGAACTTTCACATATAACCATTCAAAATAGTCTAATTACTCTACATAACTATAATTTGATAATTACAATTCGTAACTACATGTTATAGGGAGGAGAGAGGCGTGTGAGACTGGGAGAGAGAGGAAAGAGGCGAGCGAGAAAGGTAAAGAGTTGGAAAGAAGTGAAATGTATATGTATATAATTGTATATCATACATGTGTATTTGTATATCTGACAAGAGAGATTGGGAGTGGGAGGAGAGAGGCGATCGATATTGGGAGAGGGAGGAGAGAGGCGAGTGAGATTGAGAGAAGGTAGAGAGTGGGCGAGAGGTGAATGAATTTTAAATGTATATCAGTTAGATAATTGTAAATTATACATATGCATTTGTATATATGGCAAGACTGGGAGAGGTAGGAGAAAGGTAAGAGAGATTGGAAGAGGGAGGAGAGAGGCGAGCGAGAGAGGGAGAGAGTGGGAGATAAGTGAATTGTATATGTATATCAGTTAGATAATTGTACATTATACATATGTATTTGTTTATTTTGGTGAATCATACATATACAAACTTGACTACTTATACAAACTCGAAGTCAGTCCACGTAATTAATGTATAAAGTTAGTCCTGAGTGATAAATATAGAAAATTATATCTAGGATGAGTAATTAAGTAATACACGTTTGCTTAACCGCGTAATTTTCCATTCGATATGTAATCTAATTGGGCCGGAAACGCCAATGCCTAACTATATATTGGGCTGTTCGTCGCTTGGGTGCATTTCTAGTTTTGGGCCCAGGATTGTTTCCCAAATCATGTAATGTAGTAATGGGCCCAACCCTTCTAATGCATGGGCATGTGCCATTTCATATATAGGATATTACTCCTTTAAAGAAGAAGATCTAAATTAATGTAGTTTTAATGAATAGGTGATATGTATTGGATTTGGTAATTATATAAAAAATAGAAGAAAAACAAAATAAATACACATTGTCTAAGATTTTGTCGTATCCATTTCACAAGCCTATCAATATTCCAGAGTTTCCTTCTTTCTTTTTTAATTCAAACAAAAGCAAAGAGACATCACTCTTGTTGATATCCACTTCACAAATGTATCATTATCACTATCTTTTAAAAGCTTTTTTAGTATAAAAATTAAATTTAATATACATCATAGAGATACATGTGAAAAAGAGTAATAAAAGAAAGTAGAAGGGAATACTACAATACACTTGTATTAAAAAATTAAAAAATGAAAGAAAAAAATTAATACAGAATTATCCAAATTTTTTTGTCAATATCCACTTTAAAAGCCTATCAATATTCAAAAATTTTCTTCTTCTTCAGTTTCAAGCTAAATAAAAGCACGAACATAATACTACACTAGAAATGAAGGATGACTTTGGAAAAAAACTCATGAAATAATGAATTTATATAATAATAATAGAGGAATATCATTAGGTATCTTAACTTTTAATAAAGAAGATACATTATGGTTATGTATATGAAAAATTGAAAATTACGAAAGTTGTGAATATATGCATATTATATCTAATAAAGAAGATATATTAATACAATAATATTATAATGAAAGATGAAAAGTTGAGTAATTGAATATAAAGACTTTTTGAGTTATTAAAATAAAATAAATAATTAAATTAAGTAAAATGGTCAAAAAAGGAAGAAAAGAGATAAATATGAATGAAGGTCATAGAGAGGTGCCGCATCACCATATCTATGTTTTTGCTTTAAATAATTATATCGATATAGATACTTAGTATCTGTTTGAATTGATTTATTTTAGGTGTTTTTTAAGCCAAAATAATTTTTCAGCTATTTTGAAGTGTTTGAATAAAAAGTTAAAAAATGTTTATTAATCAAAAAAAAAAAAAGTCAAAAGTCCTAAGCT